ATATTTATATTTACTACTATCACAATATTATTAAATGTAGTTTAAATGGATGGATATATAATTTAATATTTAATATACATAATTATAGTAGACTCTCGATAGTTTAATAAATGGTCTGTAAATCGAAGAAAACACGTATTTCGATTCCCTAATAAATCGTAAAATAATTAATAAATAATTTAGTATAAGCTCTTAATATGAGCGTTTTATAAAATATATAATATATTATATTGTATTTAGATATAATAATAAAATACAATTTTTTTTTTGGATCAGTGTAAACTAATGACAAGAAAAATATCTTAATTATTAAAATGTAAGTATCAGAATTAAGTTTGGCAGTGTTGTGTTTAAGTATACTAAATATATGATAAAATTCCTTATAATTAAATTACTAGTAATGTTATTATTATAGCGCAGATTTGTATGCACAGTAGTAAGTATCGAAATATGTCATAAAATATGAAGTAAAAATCATGAAAATATGCATAAAATATGCAAGAAATTTTTATTTATTTAAAATTTATAATTCAACTTCTAATAATTAATTACTTAAATACTTAATACAAAAAAATGTAGGGAATTTTCTGAATTTAATTTATTTTTAAAATTTTATTTATTATTAAAATGAATAGTCATATGCATTTCAAGTTTATCTTCTGTGAAGCTGTGTCGTTTATCGGTTAACATATTTTTAAAGACTAAAAACGAACGTTCGATGTCAATTGAAGTTATTGGGGCATATTTGAAGAAAGTGGTATGTCGATAACCGACTGACACAGCAAGAGCGATTAAGTTTACGTCGTAATCGATTATATATTTTATAACTAAATATATATATAAATTATTATTCAGTGACTATGAAATATAGTTTTAATTTTTCCACTTGACAAAATATTATTTTATACATTTTTTTTTAAATTTTCACATCAATATGCAATAAATTTTGATTTTGCCAAAATATACAAAAATATGCAGTAAACTCTAAATATGCAGAAATATGCAAAAAAAAATTTTTAACATTAGCTTCAAAATATGATGATTCGTGGAGATAACTGACAAAAATCCAAAAATATTGAAAGGAAAAAATATGCGATTGCATAGAAATCCGCGCTCTAGTTATTATATTAAAGCATACTAGATAATCTTTTTTTTTTTTTTTTTTTTTTTTTTTTTTTGGAAGGTTATCTCGTACTCAATACAAATAGCACTTATTGGTTCTAGCATAAAGAATGGGAAACACTGCCATAAAGCTATCACTATGGACCAGATTATAACCAAAAACGAACCCTAAAAGAAAATAACGGATTTTTTTTAAATTAAATATTGAATAAATAATGATCGGGTATGTACCTAGTTTGCCAGCTTTAAATAATAAATATGTACAGTAATAAGTCTTAACTGTTATTAATTTGTATTATTCATTTTTTCCTTGGATAATTCAGACATTCGCTAAATTGTAAACCTTTTTATATCAAATTTTCGAACTGCTGAGAGTCTACTGAACATGCAATGCTCAATATACTTTGGGCACATATTTGATGTTCAAATACTTTATTTATAAAAATTAAACTTACCATTCATGGGCATTTCATCTATTTGCGTTGAATAATACTGTTCAATATCCCGTAATATCCTTATGTCATCGCTTTTAACGAAATTGATTGCGACACCTTTCCTGCCGAATCGTCCTGAGCGACCAATCCTAAAAATGTTTTTTGAATTATTAGGTTAAATCTATTAATAATAATCACTTATGTAATTTTTAACACATAATATATATATATATATTTTATATAGTTCAAAATAATCAATTTTTGTATTAAATGATATAATTTATTAATATGACTTTAGTTCTGATTCAAAACAACTTTAATATTAAATTACCTATGTATATACAATTCTCTGTTGTTGGGCAAATCATAATTTATTACTAATGAAACTTGTTGGACATCAATGCCTCGTGCCCATATGTCAGTTGTTATCAAAACCCTCCTGTATAATATAAACATATATACTTACAAACATTCATCATAAACAAAACATTTTCATAGAAAGAGAAAAAATAATAAAAATATTCTAGACTCACGTTTGACCAGCGCGAAATTCTTTCATAATTGTGTCTCTTTCCTTTTGAGGCATATCACCATGCATAGAACTAACAGTAAAATTAGATTCTCTCATTTTTTCTGTTAGCCAATCCACCTAAATAACAAATTACATACAACCGGTTGGTTAAGAAAAATTTACCATAAATATCTGATAACTAACTTTTCTTTTAGTACTACAGAAAATCACTGCTTGTGTGATAGTCAGTGTATCATATAAATCGCATAATGTGTCGAATTTCCATTCTTCCCGTTCAACAGCAACAAAGAATTGTTTTATTCCTTCAAGTGTCAATTCATCACTAAAACCATAGATAAATAATTAATTATAAGGTTGACACTTCAATAATAATTTATATTTATACAAACCGTTTTACTAAAATCCGAATAGGGTCCGTCATAAATTTATTGGTCATTTCCAATATTTCATGTGGTAATGTGGCAGATATAAGAATAACCTAGAAAAAATTAATAAAATTAAAGAAATACAAGACAGGTAATAAATTTATCCTCAATTATAAATAAAGAAAAGTTATCATAATAAAATCATTATGAAATTTCAAAAGTCATTTAATATAGGTATATACATTTTTTTTTAATATTATTTATTTACAATTGAAAAAATGTAAAAGTTAACTATACCTGAGTTGCTGGAGGCAAGAAACGATATACATCATATATTTGTTCTTTGAAACCTTTATTGAGCATCTCATCTGCTTCATCTAATACTAAAGTTTTAATATTTCGTGTTCTTAATGTTTTTCTCCTGATCATATCTATTGAAACAAACCTGTTTAATAACTACAGATCTTGAAAAAACAAATTATACATACCAAACACTCGTCCTGGAGTTCCAGAAACAATGTGCTGTCCAAAATCTAACTTTCTAATGTCTTCGCCAATATTAGTTCCGCCGATACAGGCGTGACACTGAACATTTAAATAATCGCCCAATGCCAAAACTACCTATATAATAGTTTAATTGTATTATTAATACATATACATATAATTATATAATATTTTGTTATATAAACATAATATTTATGTTACTGATGTATAATAAATAACAAATAAATAATAATCTATATTATAAAGAAAAAAATATTAATAATAATAAAAATGATTTAATCTGTACTCTATAAACAATAGTCATTATTTATTATTACTTTTCTTTCTTAATTCGCAACAAAATTTAAGTCAGGGTCATAGTGAAAATACAGTTGCTTGTACTCATATCAGATCTCAAAAACTTATTATTTTTCGACAAGTGTTTATATATATATATATGTAATATGTTATTTCTATGGTGTTTATCACTACAAGATTAAGGTATCTAATTAATGCAGTCTATTAGAGAGAATGCCAATAATTGAGACGCTGAATCATTAAAATGTGTTTTGTTTGACTTTAGAAAATTTTGATTTTGATTTTAATCATTTTTGGTAAAATACTACCTTTAGCAAGGTATTTTTTTAATGTGTTAAAAAAAAAAATATTTCATACTGTACTCGAAAAATAAATGAATTTAAGAATAAATTAAATTAATATAGGCAAACATTTGATTTAGTTTGGGATGAAGTAAATGACTTAGAAAGAGATAAAGAAGTTCCCTCTAGTAGTAAAAGATATTGAATGATTCAAGTATCTATAGATAGAAAAAACTAATTATTAACGTTAAGTCTATGAAATAGTAGATCCTATATTAGTCTAAATCAATGAACAATTTTCTGAATTACACGGTTTAACAGTTGTATAGAGTTACTTGGTTTTGAAAAAGATATCTTATTACAAAGATTATTTTCCTCGGGATAAATTTAGTTCACTTAGACATATGGCCAGTATTTTTTAATTATCAATCGTATATTCATATGATCAGTTTTATCAAACACATATTAAATATATAAATATAAGTTATAAATAATATAATATTAATACATTTTATAAACTTCTGAAATATATGAATGAAACACATTTAACAACTGTTCTACCAAGTTACTAAATTATGTATATTAGTTTAATTATTCCTGCAACTTATACTTCTGCTGAAAGATTTTTTTCAATTCTAAAGACGATAGACTTAATAATTTTTTTTTTTTTAAAAAAATAGAATTGAGTTGTCTTATAAGTAAACTTCTAATAAATAATAGGAATTTATAATTAAAATAAAAATATTGTTGTTACTTAATTTTTAATATTTATGATGTATCAAAAAAATGTTTAGGTACATATTTAGATGAGTGGAGGGGAGGAAAATCATGAACTATGCAGTTCTTTAATTTTTATAGGGTCAAATCAGTAATATAAATTGTAAGCAACTTTTTGGAGATGGTAAAAACAAAAAATGGAGATTAAGTAGATATAATTTTTGGTGATTGCTTACAACACTGACGGCAATCCACACTATGCCACTAGTTTTAACTAAGAATATACCTAGTCCTCATTCTTTAAGTTAACTCACGTCTTTTACTATTGAATTTTCACACATTTTCCACCTACTATCAACTACTGTTGTAAATGCAGACATCAATAAAATGCATTTTCACTGATAAGTTGGCTGTTGAGACATTAGTTGACATTTATTCATTTCCGATCCTAATATTTTAGATCATGAATATTCCAATGTATATTTTTTTATTACTTTCTTACTAACATATATCATTTTAAATGCCCTCTTGGACGATTCATGCGCACGTTTTTACAATACTATACATTATTTTTATTTACGTTCAAAATACAACTACAATTTTTCGATAATTTATAACTAAAGTACTGAATATAATAATTCAAACAATTTTGCTTATTATGCGATAGATATAATTCAATAAACATAAATAATTTATGTTAATTATACCTTTTGTATTTGTACAGCTAACTCTCTGGTGGGTGACAAACACAATACTTGTGACTCTCTGAGTTGTGTGTCCACTATTTGTAACATTGCTATGGAAAATGTAGCAGTTTTACCGGTACCGGATTGCGCCTGGGCAATAACATCTCGTCCTTTAATCATGGGCTTAATTGCCCTCTGCTGTATGGCAGAGGGACGTTCAAAGCCTGTAAAAGTTATTAAAACAAAACACAGTAATATTAACATATAGCCTTTAAAAGATTTGCATTTCGCTTAAGCAACTTACCATATGAATAAATTCCACGAATAAGGTCTTCCTTTAGATGCATTGAATCAAATGTCGACATAACTTCGACATCTTCGCTTGTTTCGAATTCGACATGGGATAAATCGTCGGTCAACAAACCTCTCCTAGCCATATTGTATAGTTTCGTAGTAACGAGTCACACACGAAAATGTTCAATGGTTTTTTATTTATTCGTTGATCAAACGATGTGAAATGAAAAAACAACAAAGTGAACGCGTGAAATCAAAAACGACAGCAACGAACAGAATGCTAAATAACGAAATACAACGTACGAAGCTAAAAAACACAAGTTTTGAAAGAATCAAGGTAAAGTGACAACGGTACGCGCGATAGCGTAACCTTTCATACACGATCGATATGGTAATACTCAATTGTAAACAAAACCCGGCTAGTTATAGGTTAGAAATTCGAACGCCGCGGTACGCTGCAAATTTGAAATTCAAATACGATACAATATGAAACATCAAAAAACTTTTAATATTTACAGTCATAACAGTGTAACAATTATACGAACTCCAATTTAATGATTATTGAGGCCTTAGTGGATTACACATTAGGTGATTCGAATTCGCGCGTTCGTTTTTTAAAAACGTCGTGTTTAATCGCTCATAACTAAACATAGGAATATGAAACGTGCGTTCAGTAGCGTCGGGCGCGTTTGAACACGTCGAGATGTTTGATTTTGAGCGTTCCATATAGTTCGATAGTTTGCAACTATCCAACTATAGTTAAACATTATTTTCCCTATGTAATTCATAGTTATTTTCGTTGTTTCAATACTCATGGACGATTTAAACGCCGCAATTCCCTCGCTTTTATTTACGTTCATTCATAATTTATATTTTACCGTCTCTAGACAAAAAGTATTTTTAAAAATTTCATCTAACTGAGATTATTATATTTAAGTTACTTAAATGTCTATATATATATATATATATATATTTCTTGAATTCTTCTGGGTAGCTACGAATAGTCATAAATCTCACCTAAAACTGACCATTATCCGGTATTTTTAAATTTAAAGGATCAACCTAGGTCGTCTTTTAATTTGTTTCGTTTCTGTTTCTCACTGATTTCATATTCTTTGTATAATGCAAAAATAACGCATACGGCTTCAATATCATCTAACATTTCCATTTCAAAAAAGAAAAAATACGAAACGAAACACAACGAATTTAAAGTTCAATAGGAAACGAACAGCAGTCATTTACAATGAACGGTAACAGCAGTACTAACCCAGTATGCTATAAAATACAAGAATTGAATAACATTTAGCGCTTTTTTGTACTTTGGAAAACGCACGCAAATCGTTCAGTGTGAAAATGGACCACGATTTTGAAACGAGGTCGCGTGCATTCGAATCGTCTAGTGCAGCGGTTCCCAACCTAGAGTACCTACCCGGAAAAAAAATTGAGTAATGAAGGAAAATATTGAATTTATTTCATTCATAACGATTCGTTATTAGAAATAAAAACTTAACCATCAATTTATCTTATAAAAATTTAGTATAGAATATACATTATAGAGTACTACTATATGTATATAATAATAATTATAGAAATAAACTGAACGCAGCTCCAGATTTAAGATTATATATTGTATCATTTGAACCAGATTTTAAAAAAACTATGAAATTTGGAATAAGGTCAAAGATCTTAGTGTATTTTTTGCACTACAATTTTTATACTCAAGTTCAATAATTTATATATTTTTTTTGTTTAATATTAAAAATGTATTATTACACTATATTATATTATTCTTATTTTTAATTTAACCATTTTTTAGAGTAATAAAAAAATAAAAAATTTAATTAAAATTCAAAATTATCAAATGGTTAACAATTGTAAATCAATATTTAATAAAGTAAACAAATAGTTTATACGTAGAAATTAATAAATTAATTAATTAATAAAAAGGTACGACTGGTTTCGAAAAAATTCATCGTTAGGTCGCGACTCACGTGTATCTAACAAATATTATAGTAATTCAGACTAAGCATTTATTTATTTATATATTTATATATTATTTTTAGAGTACTTATATGAAAAAAAAATTGTAATGAGGGATACAATTTAGCAAAATATTAAATTTAGTAATAAGGAAGGAAAAAAATTTTGGAGCCATTAGTCTGGTCAAAATCAATTTAAAACACTAAGCATTAGGTAACTATTATAAATTGTATATGTTTCCTGAAAGTTGAGAGTATAATATATTGCTTATTTGTTGTGTATATTACAATTTTATAATTGTATATTTCATATTAAACTACTTTTTGCAAGTACTTACTGATATAACTTAAGGATTTATATAGCAAATAACATTTTATAGCAGTGGCGTCGAAGTCCTAAAAATGTAGTCGAGCGAAAAATATTTTGAGGTCACAATACAAAATTTTGGCCCAATCACATACCAGGAAGGGGGGAATGATTTTTATCCAAAAAATATTGATATTTTAAAAAAAAATTAAAAAGATGTGAAAAAATTAGAAAAAATTACTAATTACTAATTTTTTTGTAATACTCAGCAACCAAAACTGCTAAGAGTAGTGAAACCCGAAAGTGCAAATCGACCTATTTTTCAATGACCCAAAAACGCAAAACAAATTTGCACTTTTGTTCCTTTGTAGTGGAATAAAGCACAACAATAAACTGTATTACTTAATATAATATTGTACAGAAATTTTATCGAGTTTAGTTGAAGTTTAATTCTATTATATTATATTAATACGACAAAAATGAAATAGACATTTGACCTTGGTAAAAGTATTTATGGATTGGCTTTTTTTACCTTTCACTGAAACTTTTAATGCATTTTATGAACTATTTGCTATCGCTCCTGATAATTATAAAATATCAACGTTCTTAAATTCTTATATTTCCTACATGCATACTTTGAAATTATTTAAATAAAAATTATAAAACAACGATAAAAAAAAAATTATAACTGAAAATCATGGTACACAAATTTTAATATCAAAATGTTAATAACTTAACTGATGACTTTATCGAAAATATATCTGTTATCTACCTACCTATAACAAAGAAAATTATATATATTATAATTTTTAACAACGTTATAAATAATTATATTTAATAATTGAATGATGAAGTATACAGTTTTCGTTTTATATTTACCTTTGACACATCTATGTTTATATCCTGTTCGTAAGAAATAATTATTAAATTTTTAATCTGTTTTAATCAATACTGATGCAGTCTTGATTTTATGATTTTTAATTTTAAAAAACTTCGTTCAACAGTACAACTAGATTTAAGCAAGGGCATAGTTATAGATTATTAATAGAGAGGGATTCGGCTTTCAATTATTAGTAATAAGCTGACATGAAAAAAAAAAAATAATACAAATACCGATATATTAATACAATACTTTTAATATAATTTTTAAAAATTAAATATTATACAAGTAAATTTAATCGTTGTCTAAGCTGTAGTAATTTGTTTTTCACAATTTGTAAAGAATTAACAATTATGTCTCTATAAATATTTAGAAGAACTTGTTCAGTTAATCGCTCTTAACCAATGATGTTTTATAAATATGTCTTTAAGCGCTTTAACATAGAAAAGAGACATTCCGCATTTGCATTCGATACAGGAAGAGTAAACAACATTTTAAGAATAGTATAAATGAGAGGAAAAAATAATTCATCAGATTTTTCCAAGGTTTCAATTGCATTTAACTCATTTAAGTCATCACTTATTTCTTCCCTCTTCTTGGTCCATAATTGATACTCACTCAACAGATTTTCAAGTTTTTATTTAACATATATATCTTATGGGTTTCTGTTAATTTGTTTTTAACATCGTTCTAATTTATCATACATTTTGGCAGTATGATCTGGAGGTTCTCGAACTTTTCGTAATGATTAGAAAATCTGGCTGATAGTTTGCTTAGCACATGATTTAGAAATGAATAGTAAACATTTATTTTATAATATATTTCGGCTGTCTCTGAAGGATTATTGATTCATCATTTTTATCTGTTTGTGATTCTGTAAGTAATTCAATACCTAAGAGTTCTTTGAAATCTGTTACAATTTTTAAAAATTTCTTATCATTTCGCATGTCTTCTGATGTAAATATTTTACGATATCTACATACATATTTGCTTGCTTTTATCAAATCAATATTTTTATTTTGAAGAATTTTTTTTTTTAAATTTCCAGTGAAGCTGAAAATTATCGCAAAATGAGCAGCGATACTACAAATTGTGAGTTTTCTATAGCTTGTGATTCACATTCATCTTAACACTTCATTATAGTTTAACAATATATTTTTTTTTGTAATGTTTAACAAAAAGGTAATCATTATTATTATTTATATATAATAATGTAAATCATTTCACTTACCACACTTACATACAATTTTTTTTTCTGATTATTATTATTATTTGTTGACTGATTGGAATTTTTGAATGGAAAGGGGTTCGAATAAATTTTTTAAAAAATAAATAAAAACTCTGTCAATAGGTAGAATATGATCATATGAATAGTTAGAATTTCATTAAAGAAAAAAAAAAATATATTGAAAAAATAAAAATTTGCAATGTTATAAGCAGTTCAAATATTGGGTCATGTCCGAGTCAATTTAACATTTCGTTAAAATTTAACGTTGTCGTTGGCTATGGTCAAGGGGCCAATTATTTCCCCCGCTCCCTATCACCCTTGCCAATACTTTTGACCGCTGGTGCGGTAGTTCTTTCTCCGATAATGGCGGACCACAACAATTACCGTTAACTGTTTGGTTAACACCATAACATTTATTGCGACGGCAGTGGGCAATTGTAGAACGTAGATTCACGATTGGTAAATACCTACACGAACAAAAGGAGTTGTGCGCGCGTCGGATTCACAAGGGTACGAATCCGTTTTTCACGTTCGTCAGCGCTTCGACGTTATAAACCTAAGTGGTTTACGGAACCCGGCAGCCATTCGAGCGCACGAACAGAACGTCACGTCAAGTCATGTTTGGGAACATAGGGACCCTATGGACCGACGCCGACATAGGTCTTGTCCCTCGCGTCGTCCGATTAGCAACGCAGCGCGGAACGGCAACGGTAGCACGTTGAAAATCGATAAAGCGAGTTCGGGTACAT